ATAAACATGTCACATCTTAAGGCCATAAAATTATGAGCTACGTATACCAGATATACAAAAGATACACAGAACACTGTCAGTGCCTTAACATTTTCGTACAAGAAATTCATTCTGCGCTGTCGCTAGATCTCACAGTGAAGTTTTACCGTAATGCGACGTTCCCGTATCGTAGTCGCGTACACACAACTAGAAACCAATCGGAAATTGGAGTAACAAAGGACTCCACAAAGTGACGAAAATAAGTTCACCATGCGCCAGATCGTCAGCCTCACGGGAGCATTCGACCATACTCTGATATGAGATGAGATTTTCGAGTCATGTCCCACATTCTTGCAGCAAAATGCATCCTATAAACAAGCTTTCTCACGAACGCAGAAAAAGAAACGTTAGAGAGTATTCCGAAAATATCGGCATCTGTTAAACTCAAAAGCAGTTAAATAATTGCCCAGCACTGGGATTCATATTTAGTATTATCACTCACCACTGCTTTTCACTTTGGACGGAGGTGCTGAGAAACAGCGGCGGCAATGACATAACGTGGCTTCTGAGCCTTTTCACCAGGACTTCGTAGTCAGGTACGCCCTTATATGACGAATGAACTAAACGAAAACCATGTGCTATTAAAATTAAATCATCTAACAAAACAAAACCTCAGACATAGTTGTTATTATTCCTAAACGACTTAGTGCAAGTTAATCTGTTACCCTGTTTGAAATATCAGTCAAAAAAGGACTGCCCACTCAAGTCAAGGGAGCAAAATTTACAAACCTGCTGCTGTGTATTTATTCCGTTCTGATGTTTAGGCACTGTCTACCGTTGCACATGAAAGCAATGGTCATCTTCTTCATCTTACATTTTTCTGGGTGATCATTTATGGTACTATTCATAGCCGTTTGCAGGCGGTTCTTTAAATGCGGCGAATATTCAGAGCCAATATGCTGCAATTGGAACTGGTGTACGAGTCATAAGACCACGGTGACAAACTCAGATGGTCGAATATGTCTAGTTTCTGGTTAATTCATAACCCAAGTTCACTATTTCACTTTAACCGGCAGTACTTCATCATTGACACTGACTTTCTGAGTGTCAACAACAATGTACAACTTTTCGGCGCCGATAATTTCAGTTACCTGCCTTTATGTTGTAAACGAAACTGCTGAAACATAGCTCAAATGTTCTTCTTCGTTGCACATGAACCGTAGAAATGAAACAGCAGTGGTGACTTCTGTTTCGCGAAGGCAGGAATTCTCCTTTTCTTTCATCAATTTTCGAAATTAATTTGGTAATAATTCCGCACTGTTTCATGTGAAAGATCAAGTTGACCTTCTGCATATTTTCTATCAGATAACTGTGCACATACAGGCTATAAATACAGACAAACGAGTAATTCCGTCATTTTCGATGACCGCTTATCGTTTCTTGTCGAGGGGGGGGCAGAGGCACCATATATATATAGCCTACAGACAGGTTCTTTTCTCTCCAAGCTCAGACGTTGGCACAGAATCAGGAACGGATTGAGGACGTCCTATATATATATATATGTAAAGGAAATCGAAAACTGTACTTTCTTGCTTGTACCCACGAGGCTTCATGTCCGGCAGAATGAACAAATTGACGTTTTCGTCGTTCAAGTTCGGGCAATCGTTTGTGAGGCACGACTTTACACTTAAGGCATCTAAACTCGCCAAAGTTTTAAAGAATTCCAAACAAACGTCAATTCTTACACTTCCAAAGTAGGTTAGAATCCTTCATCGCCGTCGAAAGAAACTTGCATTTTCTTTCGACGACTTGAAAATTATAATCTTCGCGCTTCGCCCTGTTTTGTACAAAAACTACAACATACACACAAAGTAAATCTAAAATAAAAGATATATTCAAAATGCAAAGCACTCACTCAAATGAGGGTAATAGTCTACGTTCACGGGACCTTCAGACAGATGCATACTCGGCTTAAGCATTTCAGCGGTATAAAGGAAATTTATCAGGCTTACGTCCAAGAACCAATCGAATAGTACAATAACCACATGACAAACTTGAAAAAGGAAAGCCGCAATTTGTAGAGACTATAATGGAAAAAGTAGAAGCTGAGTTCGCACTGAAAAGGTTCAATAATTACGCCAAACAAAACTGTGAATAATATGGCTGCCAATGGCTATTACAGTCTGACGTTTAATATTTAGCGTTATATTTATTTTTGCATCGCTAACATTCATTCTTTCTAATTTTCTCTCATTTGTCTTTTATCTCTGAGAAAAAGCAAGATTTTTCAATCATCTCATTTACAAACATTCAACTTTCATACTCCAACTGTGGTATTCATTCACTGGTTTATTTTCAGGTTGTCAAGGCAGCAGCTTCATGAGGTTCATCAATGTTAACTACTAAATACCACAAGGTAGTTTTACAACTCAGCTGAAAATCGTAAAATTTCAGTTTCTGAAACCGGATTTACTTGGCAGCTACCTCTAAACATCGGGATTACGCTTTGTCTACATATTTACCTACGGAGAGTGGCAGATTTAATCGGTCCTAGACGCGCCATTTTTCAGCCCAACTAAGAGATGCGATCCCGCATCCAACGCAGTACAGGTCAAAATGTTAAATGTGTCTGCTCAGTGGTCCTCTCAGGGCAATGATGCGCTTGCGCCGAATAAATCCGACATCAGAAGTACGGTGCTACTCAATGTTACAGGGTCGTCTGACTGTGAGACTGCATTATGTTTATTGAGTGAAGCGAATCTGCCTGTGATTCAGATTCGTCCATTACTATCGCGCATGAAGGGCGGGTACTTACAGTCAGTTAATTTCGTCAGTTTTCAAAGATATTCATGGTTTAATCACGATAATCAGCGATACGGTTTTTGGACAGATAACATAATTAACTAATAAAATGTATAAATTTGAACACAAAATCTGCAATGCTGCTTGAAGTTAGAATATACAATAAGGCTGTAAGCATGCTTTACTCACTGCATTACGAACAACAAGTTCTTGATATCCGAATCTGATGTGATATGCGACATTATTTTCTAATCCTAATTTCTAATTTGTTTAGAATAATCTGATAATCTATTTCATCACACAATAAGACGGAAATTTCTACAAGAGTAAAAGTTTTAGGCATAAAAGAATTAAAGTGAAACTGCTAAGAAAGTATTTTAAATTTCGATGCAAGTACTGTAATTACGGTGCAGAACGTACCTCAATTTCGACATGGTTTTCGAACGTGCTCCAGTCATAGCTGTAGCGACGATCATTCTGCAGCAGGTAATCGAGAGCACTGCTGCTCAAAACCGGCTAAAATGTTTTCATGTCATTCTATGTCGTTTTGATACTACTATTAAAAGTACCTGAGTATCCAACAAGATCACACGATTATCGGTGACGTAAAACTGAATGCCAGCCGTCTGATGGCAACTGGTTTCCGTGCATTCTTTGCTGGCAGGTCGGAAAATGTAGTGCCTAAATAACGAGGGCTAAAAACTATCAAAATGAAATTCGGTACAACCGAAATCCATTTACTATTGTGACTAAGTGCCAAGCTTCGAAGCAAGCACAGCATAAGATATATGCATGTCTTGCATGATGGTGGAAAGCTTACAACTATTAATTTAACCATAAATTTAATCAAGCAGAAATAATATATATTAAACGTACCTAATATTAACTTAATCTAAATCAATAATCAATGAAACTGACGGTATGTCAAGGCTAAACATATCGGTGCATATCTTCCCATGTGAGTAAAGAAACCATGCAGTCTGATCAGGAAGCCAAAATGGTAAAAGAAGATGGAAGGACACGTTACGCTCGTTACTAAAAAGAAATAGGAAGTCTGGGTTACACCGGGCATTCAGCTATCAGGGATCAAGGCGAAATGCAGCAGCAAGGGGTGTTCGCATCGGAATAACATGGCCGCACACCTCTTTCATTCTAACGTCACAAGATCGG